TGCTAACGCTTCGCCGATATCCACCTGTAAGCGGTTATGAGTTACCTGGAATACTGCAGAAGGGGCCCAAGTCAAGCAAGTGTGGGTAGTTCAACTCTCGGCGTAGAGGATGCAAGCCAACTACTGTAACACGGACCTCAACCACTACAGCGCAGTGCGCTGTTTGTAGCACATTCACAACGGAATTCGCTTGCAGTTCGGAGATAGACCGAGTGGTTACAGATGCAACGAGTCAGATGAGCAAACTACAAGTTACCAGAAGAAAGATATCAAACTGATTACTGGTTACTGGATAAAAGCAGCAAGAAGTGGTATCTCTGTGTAGCTGCATCTAATATCACTCAGGTACAAAGACCCGTTATTTTGGAGTGCGTTTGATATATTTGATATCAACAGTGTTTATCCAGGAATTTCTTAAATACCGACACCGACTTTGCCACGACTAAGTGCTACGGCTCGTTGTTTTATACATTCACCACTCTTCGTTCGAAACAGAGTTGGTGGGCGACCCGCTTCAAGTCCGGTACTACAAGGTTGTACCGGTGCCCTCGTGTGCTGTTTGGTGTGCGTAAATGCAGCAGCGGCCTCAACATGGGGTATTCACGGAGATGTAATATCCGGTGCGTCATGATGAGGTCAACACGCGGTCGACGATATGCTAGTCCTAGTTTCTTACACCGGCATTCGTACGGCATACTTCGTAAATTGGGAAGCAGCATGGTGGCCACATGATGCACTCGTCCAATCTTTTCTACCTCGCCCCGGATGGTAGGACAAAACGCGGGAGAGCCATACACTAAAATTGGTCGTATTATTGAGACGAAGAGGCGAGTGGTAATTCCTTCGGACCAACTGCTGAAGATGCGCCTAAGCGCGCAAAGTATACGAAAGATATTTTGGCAGAGCCTATTGGTGTTGTCCACGGACTTTAGGTCGCAGCGTGAGAGTACACCGAGGTCTCGCAAGAAAGGCGCGGGATGCAACGGTTGACCGGCCACAGTGTAGGTTCGAGTGTGCTCATGAATTGCGACTTGCCCGGGTTGATCAGAAGGTTGACCTCTGCAGACCACATGGAGAGGCGATCGAGGTCGTCCTGAAGCAGGTCAGTCATTGGGTGCGCGGATTACTCTCCACACCTTTAGGTCATCTGCAAATAAGGTACAAAGTGAACGGAGTAGCTGAGGCACATCGTGTACATGGATCAGGAACAAAATGGGCCCTAGAACAGTGCCTTGGGGCAGGCCATTGCTCAATGGATACCAGTCGGTCAAATGGTTGTCGACCTGAATCCTGTTTACTGTGCATGCATCTAATGGGTCCCTAACACTGCAGCATCACACCGAGGCACGTGATCTAGGTGTCATCGTGACGAGTGAATTTAAGCCCTCGGCGCAGTGAAGGCTAATAAAGCGCGACAGGAGTTATTTCGTCTCAGGAGAGTTCTGAGTTGTACCAAGCCAGAGGTCTTTCTTCCATTGTTCAAAGTTGTAATCAGACCACATCTGGAATATTGTGTTCAGGTATGGGGACCCTACCTGAAGAAAGATATTATTTGTATCGAGAATGTGCAAAGACTGGCCACACGAATGATAGAAGGCCAGCGCAGGTTACCGTATAAAGATCGGTTAGCTAACTTGGGTTTGTTCTCAATGAGAAGACGCAGATTGAGAGGTGACTTAGTAGAGACGTTCAAAATCGTCAAAGATCTCAGTGGTCTCAGGTTAACCGATCTGTTGGAACCAGCTACGTCAGACAACTTGCGGGGCCATTGCATGAAATTGAAGAAGCGCAGATCTAGGCTGGAGTTAAGAGCCAGGTTCTTTGCAAACCGGGTTGTGCCTGTTTGGAATAAACTTCCTTCCGCTCTATTAGCATGCGAAACCGTGGAGGAATTTAAACGTAGCCTAGACAAACATTGGCTGGCCCTGTTTCCGGAATTCCCTTGATAGTATGTTGTTCGTCTTGCACTTGCTTCTGTTTTTCACCATTATAGAATCAAGAATATTCTATTAAATCGCAGGGCTAGGGGGCTCTTTTTCGCTTAATGGCACATGAAAGGTGACGCTTGGTAAGCGGAAGCTTGTTTCGTCCCTGGATCCTGTCCTGTCCACCTACGATCAACAAGGAAATTCCTGATCCAGCGGTGCAGCGAGCCGCCAACACCGCACACCCTCAGCCTGTCGAGGAGCATTTCATGATTCATCTTGTCAAAACCCTTACTGAAGTCAATGTAAAGGATGTCGACCGACATGCTTTGGTTTAACGCTTGCAACCATTTGTGCCTCGTTAACAATAGGTTGGTGATGCACGAGCGACCTTTCACGAAACCATGCTGTGCGAGTGTCAAGTAGGTTTTCGACTCTAGCTGAAGAAGACCCTTTTTCACTATCTCAAGCGTCTTTGCCAAAAAAGCGGTCAGGAGCATCGGCCGGTAGTTATCCACTTTGCTTGGGTCACCACCTTTCGGTATTGGCTTACGGACTGAGCATTTCCAGTCGCTCGGTAATAAACCAGTGGATAGTGACCTGTTGAACAACTCAGTTACAGAAGGCGAGATGATGGTCGATAGGGACTTGAGGATCAATGGGTGGATTCCATCTGGCCCGGAAGACTACGTCCCGTCAAGATTTGCCAGAAGCTTGCGTACACCTTCAATGCTGCAATCCGGGCTGTCTAGTTCAGCGAGGGCGATACTCGTCGAACTCGGTACAGACACTTGGTCACTTGCAAATACGGAAGCGAAGTGCGCTGCCAAAGCGGACGCACGATCTGTACTTGAGGTTAGTGGCTGTCCATCTGAGCCTTCTAACACCGGCACATTGCATGCACGCCTCAGGCGCTTCACGTAGGTGAAGATTCTCCTGGGAGTAGTTTTTGCGTCGGCTGCAAGTTGCACTTTGAAGATTCTGTGCTTTTCGTTTTCGCGTTGTTGCAGAAATTCCGCTGTATCGTGTATGCCTTGTAATCCTCGTCAGAGGCAGATAACAAGAATGTGTTCCATAGTCTGCGTCGTCGTCGGGCCAATTTGTTGTACTCCTCGTCGAACCAATGTGGTTAGACTGGACCAACTTTCCGATACTTGAGGGGTACAAATCGGACGCAAAACGATTTCACTCCCTGTTTATGATAGTTCAACAGGTTTCAACAGACGAATCCTCTGGTCACAACAAGTCCATCTGACTCGCTGCTCGAGTGAGATCACTAAAGTCCGTCTTCCAATAGTTGTAGGCTGGCTCCAGCGAGGAAGAATACGACAGCGGCAGTTCCAAGCTGGCCATGGCGATCGAATGGTCACTCGCACCCAGCACACGTTGCTCACAGCTGGCCAACAGCAGGTCTAAGCACGATGGAGTCGCACGCAGTTATGCGCGGCGGCTAATTGATGTGCTGCGTGGCCCCAGTTTCAAATAGCAACTCTAAAGACCTCCTCTCGGCTTCAAAATGGCCGGGGAGAAGTTCAGTCTCAGTCTACTATATTCGAGGTAAGATGAAATCGCCCATAAGTAGAAACAGCGGAGGACTCATGTGGTTGCGGACATACGGCAACCAGTCCAAGCAGCGGCTCAGTGGACTGCGATATACCACGTCCACGAGCATCGCGCAACATCTGAGGTGAATCGAACGCCATAGCTACTCATATAGACCATCAGTGCTTCGATAAGTACTCGCCGGTCTCCCACACAAGGAATACCTTATGTAGAGCAGAAGGCCACCTCGATCATTTGATAGTCTATCAGAGCGAAAGCACGAGTAGCTGCTGAAAGAGTGGTAAGTGAAGTCAAGAACAAAAAGAAGGAAGAATAAGATTATGCGTAGAAACATGCTCCATCCGGAATGGAATCATGAGGACGAAAATACCATTGCAGTACCAGAGACCAATTCTGTCTGCGATAAGTCCGACTATCGGTTCATATAGTACAATAAAAAGTGCCCATATCTAAGGAGTCCCAAATTACCCTGCATGTGAGCAGCTGTTCCACTCAAAATGGGGTTCACTTATTCAGATGAAGGGGTGGATAGCAGCAACCCTTATTCAAAAAAACTGGCGAGATGAGCAAGCATTGGGGTAGTAATAGGCTCAGTCGAGATCGAAGCGTTTCGATCAACATTAAAAGCTACAAATGATATTAGGCAAAGGATAGGTGAAGATTATCAGCGTATGGGTAACCCAGAAAGCGAAGAGTAATCAAAATAGTAATAGCATAATGCTTATAAACATCAAACCACGTGAGCGTTGTGGCTATTTCGAGTAACGCGGTCACCATTGTCCCCCTGTCAATAATGTCGCATGGTAACCAGTTAGACCAAAAAGGAAGACTCCCAATCGCGATACGCAAGTAACATTGAAAAACTTGTAAAAAACACTCAGAGTAACGAATTATTGCTGTCTATACGGGTGCGAACCAACAAGGAGTGAGATAAAGACTCTGTCTCAGTAAAACTTCACTACCTTGTCCACCAGACATGGGATGTTCATCGAGTTGGTGGCGAACCCCATGCTGAACACAATGGCGGCCTCCTGATCGACAAATTCTGCAACTAAGTTTTCCAGCTCCTGGTGGAGAATGAGGCTACCGACTTCCTGTCTTGGGCTGGCTACTCCCACCCCGAAGCGACGCGTGGCTCGTTCGTTGACGTCAACAGATGGTCCATGAGGATCGCCGAAGCCCAGGTAATTATAGGAGCCCAAGTTAAGAATACGCTTTTTTTCACCTGTGAACCTGACAAAAACCGAAAGAAAATAGTTAGCAGAGAACTAATGTCAACAGGGGAAAGCTTCGGGCGAATATGCACAAAGCATCCGAATGGTTAGGGACAGCAACAAAATGGATTAAGGAACTGGAACGGGTATGAAATCGCAGCACACCACTGGATGGGGGGGGGGGCAAAAAATGGCGACATCCAACTATTCAACGCTGGCGATAATACAGGCAAATTTATCTCGAACTGTTCAAAGCAAACTAAATTCGCAAGATAGTCCATGACGGTTGTGAAATGTGAGCTAATGAAACATGAATTATTGGTGTGGGAGCCTCCAGCTAATTGAAGTGTTGTGTCAGATGCCAAAAAGCGAAGCCTTTTAACATACCAATTCAAAAGTTCCTAAACTGAAGACACCTGAATTCGGTCTTAAACGAATGCCATGTGAAGTGGAGCCGGATTAGGTAGAGGAAAATGAAAACGTTATAAATCACATGAGGCAAACGATGAGTACTTGAATGCCAGTGGAAGTACTTGAGTTCTAGCTATAAACTACCCAGATAATCGTTACTGGCTAAAACGAAGAAACGCAGCACACGTCCCGGTCAAGCGATGGAGTCAGAGAGCAAGAGCCGTTGCTCAATTCAAACAAAGGAAGTCAACGCGCAGTCTGATATTCCGCACCGTACAATGAGACAGTAATTTTAGTCAGAATTGTACATAAGGTAAGCAGGTAAAACAGTCAAAGCTGAAAACTGATACACCAAGAAAGAACACAGCCGATTCGAAGGAATATTCGAAATGGATATAATCCATACTCTAAAAATCGTGACTACTACATTCTCGCCCAGGCCCAAAAAGTAATAATGATAATTCACTTCGGTTCTATTTTCTGTGTAATTGTCTTCGTCAGCAACCATGGACAGAAATATCGGTTGATATGACAAGCCGACGGAACTATGCGCGACATGGAAGCGACAAACGTGTGTTGGTTCGCTAGTAATGCACCTTGATACAACCCGACTAATGCCTGAGTAGCATGAGTCATGTTGACGAAAACGTAGCGGAACAACAGGCCGGTATGCAAGCAACTTAGTTGGTGTGACCTAGAGGTCACAAGCTGGTATAACAGCATGCCGCACAAAACGACATAAAGGTCGAGCCCGCTAGAGTAGCAAGCGACGCTACCCCAAGGTACACAAATGCTCCGCGTAAATGTCAATGCCAGCGGCATGGGCCATGTATGACAGCGTGTTTGCAAGGTTGGATAGCCATAGTCAGTGTTCTGTGCAAGCACATCCAGGTTAGAAGTGTCAAGGAGTGGAAGAGAGAAAGGACTGATATGTTACATGAAAAATTGCCTTCGTTAGTAAGTGGCAATACACTGGGTACTTCCCACATCTTCAGGTAAGGTGGTTTACTAGAGATCGTTATGTTGTCACGCCTCCACGACTACGAGTTGCAAGAATGCGGTCGAAGTACAGTGACGCAGCGCTAACAAACACACTCAACCAGTGTGGTTTGTATTCAATTCCATGAACGACAGCGATTCCTTTCACAAGTCGGGAGATTATTCAAAATGAAGATGATGGATCGGTTCATAATAGAAATTGAGAAAAGATCGTAACGCCATGTCCCAAGCGGGCACACGACTGCCCCGATTCGGCCCGAAGAGTAACTCGAGCATCATGAACTTGCCAAGTAGCAACATGGCATAACTGATGAGATGGGGGTTGTCAGTTGGCGGTATAGGTGAATTAGATTTTAACTCAAGTAAGCCAACTGAAAATCTGATCAATTGCATAACGTGAATAACGTTACCATCTCATGACCAACTAAAATGGTCACAATATGGGAAGGGATAATAAAACGCATCGGCACTCTACAACTCTGCAGTTGCAGATGTTTAGCATTATCAATGAACTGTGCTACTTAGGCCGGTGGCGTGTGGTCTACGCGCCTGGTTTGCAACCATAAGGTAACCGGTTCAAATCTGCGTAGGGGTGAGCGTCTTCGAGGTACCCTCAGACCGCACTCCACTAATGGTGATCGCGCTGCAGCGAAGCACCGTTACGGTGTAAAGCTGACACTATTTCATTGATTTAGGCCGAGGAGCCGGACTATAAAAGATGAGCGGCTTATTTGACAAAACCTAAAAGGGAGAAAGTTGGTGAGAATAAAGACATTAATCCTGGGGCCTGAGGCAAACAGTGGCTACTAATCCTCTGAAACATGCCGAATAACAAAAAGCAAAAAGAACTAACATGGGTTGGGGGCTGTACTAATAAGCTCCAATGGCAACTTGCGCCAAACTTTCACCGGGGATTATCCAAGTACGCTGGAGGAACGTCAATTTCGTCAGCTAGAGACTTCAAAATGCCTTGATGCACTGGTAGCTCGGGTTGATCGTTCTATCAGAGTTGGGCAGACTGGTGAAGGTTACGGGGCACAGATCGAAAAGGTCAGTTCAAAAGTCACTTGCTGATGGATTACAAATCGACGAACAAGTCATCGGATTCCATTTCACCCAGCAGCGCGCTGGCGAAGTCACCTCGTTTGGTGATGAAACGTTTGCATTCCAATTACGAAGCTTAGTTAGAGACTTAGTATGAGGCAATACGCTAAACGGACACGCAATGTCTGACAAGAATGTATTCGTCTCCCTCCATTGCAAGTAGCTCATGTCAACCAAAAAAATTTGGATTACAGCAACACTGCGAATACAAGCAGTAAAGCTCATGGTTTTCCATGCGAAATAATGAAGAGAACGTTCACAACACATAACTGTAGAATATCATGACAAAATGAATGCATACTAAGCAAGAGTATCCTCTGTGGGTCTTAGATCTCTGCTCGTAGCTTATACTGCCGTTTACTATCAGGGTTCAGTTCAGTACAGTTAAGCAACTATGATCCGAGAACCGAAGTGCGGTGGATCCTGTTGCCACGACTCACATCACAAGAATAACAATCAATAACAGCGGCAAGATAGTGGGGCTAAAAGCAAACAGAATGTAAAGAAAATAGAAGCAAGAAGTGCGTTAAACTAGTCAGAATGGAACGAAAATTAACAAGCAGATGCAGGAAGTAAAATCTAAGAACGCCACGGACGGCGTGGCTGCACCATGTCCGATAGGGTCTCCAACCATTGGTGTGGACCATCCCGAGGTCTTCATAAACGAAGACGGCACGCAGCAGCTTGACCAAGTCTCGCAGTCAATTTCTTCGTCCCACTATGCCACGTCATGGATTGGCCAGCTCGCGATTTCCCCCAAGTTGGAGCAGTTAAGGTGCGTGATGCACGCCGAGGTAGCCCGTCAACGGGCATACGGAGGATATGGCCTAGCCAAAGTAAGCGACTAAGATTCAGCAAACACTCGAGTGAGGCAGCAGAAGGCTTCTTGCCAAAAACTAACTGACGGACCTCTGACCAAGTATCCAACTTCATGTGCGCAGCTGAATGTGTTCTAAAGGCAATATTTTGACATATGAGAAACCTTGGGTTAAAAACAGTTAGTCCATAAAAATTGTAGTCTACAATAACTTAAGAGTGTACACCTTAATAAGCGTAAGTCGGTAGAGTCCAAGTTCCGTTTATTGTTAAAAAGAAAAGCAGCAGTATGGGAACCTTTGAGTCACACAACAACAAACCTAGAGGTGGTGAACACTCACCCACTTACTCGAGAGTCCATCCGTTATCTTTGGTAACGCGGTGTAACACAGTGATCTCTACCCCGGGAGAGGAACAGATCGGACGGTTCCAGCAATCCTGTACCCGCCTGTATAGATTCCGAGTGTAAAATGCCTCGTAAGAAGAGTACAGTGGCACAAAGGATCGAGTGCGTTTTGGTTCGCTAACCATTGGACAATGAAGTATGCAGCACCAACGTAGAAAATCTTGTAGTCGACCAAGCAAGTTCAGAAGCATAAAGCCGGCATAAGTGAGCACAGCCGTGATCAACGGAGACTCGCCAAATTGTTCGAATAGTGGCTCACCCGTACGGGGACCCTGGTAAACAACCGGCATCCCCGTTTGTTAGAAGAAACAAATCAGAAAGACATCGGAATAACTTCCAGGATTGTCACTGTCCAGCATCCAAGGGTCATTACTGAAAGGCAAATAACCGTTTAAATTACGGTAACTAGTCATCGTCAATAATACCGAAACACCAAACAAAGCGATCAGTTAGGAAAACAAGGAGGCAGTTCGGCTGAGTTGATCAAATGCCTGGTCCGTTCATTGGACGCAATGGTCTGGAATACCGTAAGCAGTTGCATAATATTGAAAAGGATAGCAAAAGTGAGAGATAGCGTTAAGGGTAACAGACAAAACGTCAAAGTTACCCGGCAAAGAAATGAATCAAACGCAAGCATGCTACGGGTTTCGCAGGTTTGTTTTGGAGTACCATTAATAAGCATGGAACGCGAGGAGCTCTCTCTCTGCCTAAGGAATGTCAACAAACACGGAGCCGGTTGTAGCATGTAGCTGGGAGTAATTAACACACTTATCTGCGATGAAGGGTGTATAAGAATGTGATAAGAGGCCGGTTTTACAGTATGGATCAGATACCTGGCCAATTCGCACTGGACATTGAACGCTTGGCCGTTTGATCATCGGTGCTTGAGCAGTATTGCTCAGATCTGTTAGGAACAACTGGTGAGGTCCGCCAGTTGCCTTTGGGTAAGAAACTCTCTGGTGTCTCGATTATGCTGGCTAGGCTAAGTGTCACTGAGATACGAACAACTCGGTGTCATTTTGACAAGCGATACCCACAGAGTTAAGTCATTAGTAAACACGAAGACAGAATTGCTTACCCTACAGTCCGACGGACAGTTAAATGAAACGCCAGACCATGTCAAAATGTTTCGGAATACTGATAGCTCGGGTTGACGATTCTGTTGTTCATTTGTTCTTGGGGCTTGGCAGTTTAGTTGCGTAAGTTTCACCACCATGCGAAGTGGAATCGTCAGTGCAGTTTGCAATTTTGCATTGACAATGCCACATCAGAATGTTTCTTTTCAATCATCAGCGCGAGTACATTCGCTAAGCCTATTCAGTGCTTTAAACCGGATACTGTCAGTTATTCGCAGGCGACGGGTGTAGTATAGCAGAACGGCCAGATACAGAGAAGTAACTTAAGTAGTTCAGTTCAGTTAAAAGACTAGGATCCGTTCACCGAAGGGAAGTGGATCCAGTTTCCAAGACTAGTGGGAGAAGAATAATAAGAAAACTGACAACATCAAAAAAGAGGTTGAACGTAAATGGAATACGAAAAGAAAACGAAAAAGAAGTGTAACAATTGAACCCAATGGAGTAAAATTTAACCGCAAGATCAAGCAAGTAACAACAGCAGTACATCAGTCATTTGAACTGATGCTTCGTTGCCATACAATCATAACGACCTACGAAATAAATGATAAGAAAGAGAGAAGCGGGACTTACATGAAAACCTTTGTGCTCTAAGCAAACATTCAGGCTCAAAGCCCCGCCACCTTGTGTAGACACATACCGTCACAACCAGTTGGCTATCGTGCAAAGACAAGGCGGCATCGGCGAGACAGCTTCCTTGCGGCTATCACTGCCACGCGTCATAATCAGCCATTATCCCCGCAAATAACTCCGCACCAAACACACTTTAAGCTGGCAATCCGATTTCGAGACAACAGCAGACTCGCCACTGGCGCTGCCAGCCATGTCCTTTAAAGTCTTGAGACAAGCACAAGGCGAGTCACGAGGAATCCAGCCCGGAAGCAGAAACGGACCAACGGCACCCAGTTTGGTCGTCAGTGACCTTATTTCAGACTGCAAATTCCGTCGCGAGCCTTGCGCCACCCTATACCTGGTATACTGAACAAGACCCTCCTAGGTAAGCGGTGACCAGGCATACGTAGCTCGTGCCCGAACCAACACAACTTATTCAGTGCTATCTGTTGTTCTAGGTAGCTAGAATGAGTAACACTACCTAGTACTCGCCTACGCACATCATCGATCCGGACCCGTTACGGACACGCCATCCGACACCAGCAGTGTTTCACAGACAACGATGATCAATGAATTAAAAAAACACTCCATATCATCAGACCGAAGGGGCCAAGTCTCACTACCATATAGCAGAACGGCCCTCATTGTGGCCTTGTATACACGGCCTTTCAGACGGACAGAAATTCCATTCTATCGCCAAAGATGCCGCAGGTTCAGGAAGGCAGCTCTGGCCTTTGCAATGCGTGAGCTGACGTCAGTTTCCATGCGCCCATCGTTGCTGATGCAGCTTCCAAGATAAATGAATCCATCAACCACCTCGAGTTCCTCGTTACCAAGAGTCAAGGGGTCGTAAACTGGCTGGTAGTCCTGCAGCAACACTTTGAAAGTGCGAAGTGCATATCATATAATGGGACTACTCTGCATAGGCTATTCAGAGTTGATTGTGCCTCCGCAACATCGTCGAAAAGCAAGACGATATCGTCCGCATAATCAAGAGCAATTAATCTTTCATCAGGCAGAACTTCAACACCTACATCGTTGGATTCCCCAAGGGAACACTCCATGATAGAATCCACGAGGAAATTGAACAAAAATGAGGAAATCGGACAACCCTGACGAACGCCACTTGTAGTCAGAAGGCTATCCGATAGACCAACGTAGACCCTGACGCGGCCTGTAGTGTTCGCGTACAGAGCACGTAGGTTGTTCACATATTTCGTGTGAACACCTTTCCGCGCGAGTATTTCAAACAGAATCGATCAATCGACTGAATCGAACGCACTCTTGAAATCGAGGAAAACAGCTATTGTCGGTCTGCTGTGTGCGTGGCGCTGCTCTAGCACCTGTCATAAAGTGGATATATGGTCTATATAGTCACGTCCTGGGTGGAAACCGACCTGCTCTTCCCTAACCCGAGATTCCCATTCCACAATGAGGCGGGGAACGAGAATCGAAGCCAATAATTTCGTCACAACTGGCATTAGGCTAATACCCCTGTGATTAGAACAGTCTGTGCGACTGCAATTCTTGTATATTGCCACTATAATCGATTCATTCTAATCAGACGGGACATTCTCCATTCCAGATACGTTCGAATAGGGAGGTCAGTACTTTGTGGTGGACCTCACCTCCATACTTAAATAGTGCAGGTGGGAAGGAATCCGGGTTAGCGGCACGAAAACGATTGAGGGCTGTGATCGCGTTTCTGACCACGGCCTACGACGGAGGCGCTAAACTAACCGTCCATGGCTCGTCCTGCATCACCTGAGTAGGAAAAGCTCCGGGAGCAGGGGGCCAGTGGAACTGATATTAAAAGTGTTCCGCCCAATGAGGCACACGGCGTTCTTTATTGTGTACCGGTGCACCCGCGCTGTCTCTGATTGTCTCACTGACGCCTGGTTTTCTGGGATCAGGGGTGCCGATTAACTGGAAGAGCTTGCGGTAATTGCCTCCTGCTCCTGCCTCCTCCATTTCTTGAACCCGACTGGTCCACCAGGCTTCCTTGTCAGCATGTAGGCTCCACTTTAGACGCCTGATAGCCCCTCTGGTCACATTGTGCTCGGAGCCCACCGGGATGTTACTTCTAGATAGCAACAGGTTCACCGACCTCTTGGATATCCAGTGACTGGTGCGATGACGATGGATAGTGCCACAAGTAGATGATCCTGTGTTGTGCATTGCGGCCGAGATACTATTTCACTAAAGCTCAGTGACATTAGGACAAGACAGCGAAAGTTAGGTACGCAGCGCGTCCTGATAGGCTTGCCTGACCAAGGGCTGGGATACTTTCCCATATGCCAGTAGGAGGAAACGCTTGGTGCGCCTCCCGGTAAAGTTCATAGAGAAACGATGGCGTACCAAAGCATGATCAGAGTCGACGCAGGTACTCCACTACGAACGGCAATCCAGGATGGAACAACGCCATCTATAACTTAGGGTTATGTGGTCAATTTGGGTCCATCGCTGGCCAGCTACAGGAGGACGTCAGGTAGCACTTCCGCGCCCACTGTATCTAAAAGCAGTGCTAGTAAGAAACAACTGGTGCTCCGCACGCATTTGTAGCAGACGCTCACGGTTGTCAGTCCGTTCGGAGTTAAACCCATAATTGCTACCTAGCTGAGCTTCGGAAGAGCTCAAATGCACTACTTGTGCACTCACCTCGACTACAAGTACTATACTATCTAAACAAGAAGCATTGCGCAGTAGCGCGTTCAGTTCGTGATAGGTGTCCGTGATAGCATTAGAATTGCAGTCGGTGGGAGCATAAACGAAAAGCACAAACCAGAAGCGTTTTGTTCCGCTAAAATTCGAATTGAGTAAGCGTTCATTGGAGACAACTGATGGTCACTGGTCACATGTTCACCAGACCTTACTAGCAGTAGACAAATCCTCCTGTGATAAGTCTACTCGTCAACATGGACATTGGGTCTCTTCGCGGTCTCTGGAACTTATCGACGCTCGCCGGCATATCCCGGCTGAAAGCGAACACAATGAAACTCACAAAGAGCTCCGGACAAGACTCCGTGCTAGCCTGAAGAGAGACCGCGAATCCTGGTGGTCTCTTCGTGCGTCAGAGATGGAAGTGGCCGCTGCCCTTGGCAACCATCCTGTTATTCCGGCTGATAAGGGAAACGGGCAGCAGGAGACCTGATGTTAGTGAAACTATGCGTGATGAGAAAGGACTGCCTATCCACAATTTGTCAAAACGTTTGGATCGTTGGGCTGAGCACTTTGAAAAGCAATTTAATCGGTCGGAATTGTTAGATTCTTCGCCGGGCAGTGATCTCTCTGCTCCGTGGGCTGTCCCTTGGGATCCACCCTTTCTCTCAGAAGTCGAACGTGAGATCGGACTGTTGAAGTTGAACAAAGCCGCGGGACCAGATGATCTTCATCCAGCCCTCTTTACATTCGTGGGCTCTACTCTTGTTGATGATTTACATGAATTACTAGTGAAACTGTGGGAGCACGAGACTGTCCCAACCGACTGGAGCCGCTCCATATTGTTCCCATCTTCAAAGGAGGCTTGCGTTCGGAATGCGGCAACCATAGAGGAATCAGTCTGATCTCCATTGCCTCCAAATTACTCGCCTCCATAATTCTTCACAGTTTGACTGGAGCTCGTGAAAG